CATAAATAATTGGACCATTTTGATTTGTCACCCATAATGGATATTACAGACTACTGTACAGTTGGAAACACACGCTGTGCACTTGTTCATGTGCTAATGATCTGCTCTGCATGGGTGGTGCTTACTGACATTGAGTGCTTGTACAATCTTTCACTTTTCACGTTGGGGGTGAGGACTCCTAGCTGCTGTTTTTGTTAGCAGGTATTGTTTGTATCCTACTCAAGAGCCCAGAGGAATGGAAGAGAACTCTGTTATGAGTTAATGGGTCTCTACTGCTAAATGTTACTGCTAACTCAAAATGTCAATGTAAAGCAGAATTGAGATGCTAATTTCTCAAGCAACATGGATCCTCTGACAGCATTTTATTACAGTAATGGTATTTACAGTCCCTCCCCTGCCTGAGTAAAAAAATTGTGATTTAGAAAGTTACAGCAGTAAATATTATCTGATCAGCTACATCAAATGCTGTCTGTTTTCAATACAAACATTAAAAATGCAGTTTACAAGATCTCTAATATTAATGTCATAATGATTACAAATTCCTTTATATCAGACTCCAAATTATTCAACTGCCATAGCTTTGGCTAATACCTCTGATAAAACTTTTTGCTTGTTCCAGTAGGAGGTCAAGGACTGTAATCCTCTACAGGTATTCTGAGAAAATACAGGTGTAAGGAGACTAAAAAGGGTTCAAGAACTGTGGCTGTATCTCACCTTATCTGGGCAAGTATCTAAGGTAAAGTAAGATGTAGCTCTTTTTCTACCAACAAAATGCTGGGAAAAGGAATAAGGAAAGAACTGTCCAGGGAGTCACTTAGGCTGGAAAGACCAATTGGAGTTTATCTGGTTCTAAGCCCTGCTTAGAGATACGTCAGCCTCGAAGTTTCATCAGTTGCTCAGAGCCCTGTCTGATCATGTTTTGAGCATCAGCAAAGAAGGAGGCTCCATAATCTAACTTGGCAACCAGTTCATGTTTGTTCAGAGACAAGTCCTGAATATTTTTTAATGTCCAGACCAACCCAGACTTATTTCTCATCAAGACTCAAGAACAGTGAAAGCAACTGCAGACACACCTTCCCATTCCCACAACAAAAAGATTAGTTTCAAGTCTGCAGCAGTGATTGACTATAGGACAACCTATAGACACAGCCTACGTTCAGAATTTAAGAGTGATTTATTTTATTTTTTCCTCCAGGGAAAGGAAGCCTCTGAAGTTGGTGCACTTCTCACAGACACCATCTGATATTTCGTAATCAATGAAAGACACTGACAGCTCTCAGTCACAGGCTCAGGACTTTCTTCACAGTAATAAGCAGAAACACGTGCACCTGCTCTTTGCGTTAGCAGCTTCTTTTATGCATCCCAAATTCTTGCTTTTCAGGAACATTTAACCTTCTCAGGAAGATAAGGGAAAACAACAATATGCTCTGAAAAATGAGCAGAATCTTTTGTTTTCTTCTTCAGTAGAGGTTTTCTTCTTTGTTTGTAGACAACTGATTTTAATCTGACAAAGCTTTCCATAAAGAACAAGCCTCTCATGCTCCCATCATGGGTGCTGAGCCTACTGTAAAAACAGAAAAGATGCATTCAACTAATAATATCACATAAAGAGCATGTTTGTGTCATGCAATAATTTCAGTTTTGAACAAATCCATGGGAGCTTTGTGTCATTCGCTAAACATCCCAATCAAACAACAGTAGCTGAGTAGCACAGTGCTACACTACACAATTTTGAAAGGAGGGGAAAGAGCCCGCTGGGGATGTATTCACAAAGGTTAACATTAGCCAATACAGGGCAACATCTATACTTAGTAAAGAGAGAAAGTCTCCTCCAGAGGGCAATTCAGAAGTGAAGATTCATTTAGCTACTCTGAATGTCCCTCCAGAGGAATCCCACTTTCCATTAATTTCGTGAACAGCCTGCAGAGATTAGCCTCAAAAAGATCATACTAGCCTCTGTGTGTACTACCACGAATCTACCTTCCATCAGCAGGAACAGAGGCTGAGATGTATAGTTAGCTACACTGTATTTAAATCTGAATGCTATGTATCACATATTAAATGAATTTCACTCAGTTAGAGCTCAGGGTTCTGCCAGCATTGCTGAAATGCTGTCTCCACTGTGCTACTTGGGAAACCACAGGATTCAGTTTTTTCCACTGCCCTATTCAAGTGCCCAATTGATGACTACCTGCATGCTAGCATACAAAGGACTGCTGTACTCTCACCATCTTCAGGATCCACTTAACATGCTGCAGCACAGTCCTTTCTCTCGCTCTAACTGCACACTGTACCACTGGAGCAGCAATGGGAAGCGGGTTTTCACCATCAACCTAGAGATAAAAATTCTCAAGTTTTGAGACCTGCTGCCTAAGATTTTAGTGGTTATTAGCAACGAGAGTGGAAAAGTCTTTCAATCTTAAATATGAAAAAAGGCTACATTTTGTGGTTTAATCGGGCACACAGCTAAAGACCACAGAGCCATTAGCTTACTCCCCTATCAGGGGCTAAGGTAAGGACAGTTTAATAAAAAAGGGGTGGGGGGAAAAGGAAAGAAAAACTACCTTAACAAAAAGAATGAACATATCAAGTGATGAACAATGCAATTGTTCACCACCAGCTGACTGATGCTCAGCCAGTCTCCAAAGAATGGCAGCCATCCTGGACAACTCCCCCAGCTTTATGGTTGAGCGTGATGCCCTATGGTATGAGATATCCACTTTAGGTCAGCTGTCCTGGTTCCATCCCCTCTCAGCTTCTTGTGCACTCTTAGCCCCTTGCTGGCAGGGCAGTGTGAGAAGCTGAAACATTCTTGGCTCTGTGCAAGTGGTGCTCAGCAACAGCTAAAAACATCGCATGTTACCAATGTTATCCTCATCCTAAATCCAAAAAAAAAAAGCATTACATGAGCCCCTATGAAGAAAATTAACACAGCAAAAATGAAGACTTGAGTATACAAGGAAAAGAACATAACTGACAGAAATAATGTGAAGACTATTTCCTAATTCTTTCAGTTTTTCTACATTACACTAGGTCACTGCACTTCCTCAAAAATGTCCTTAAAATACTGTCAAACTTGAGAAAAAAAAAAAGTCCACAATATCTTATAAACCAAAACAACCATTACAGCTCTTTTAAGGTCTCACCAAGACTTTCCACATCATCATTCTAGGATTTAGCCCTATCTTTTCAGAGTATCTGCAAAGTAAAACAGCCATTCTTTCACAATACAAGGGAAAAAAAAACAAAAAAACAAACCCTTTGAATTGCCTTCATGCCTTCAGCAAAGGAGCAACAAAGTTTGACAAAGTAAGGGAAGTTAGGGATTCTTTTCAAAATCTTCTGAAGACTGCCTCAGCCCAGGAAATCTGCTTCTAAATTTACAATTTTTCCTGTACAACATATCCAACCTGACTTTGACATAACAATATGTACTTGCAAACATAACATCAACTTGCAAATGTCTGCTGAGACCATTTTACTACTAACACCAAATAGAAAAGCTACATTCAAATTTCAGAGACCATATTTACACAAAGGTGTCATGAACAGAGAAAGTATTACAAAGATAAGTTATTCTTCCAAATGGACAAATCATTTGCATATTACACAAACTATGCTGCAACACAGCACCTCAAACAAATACTTCACATTGTGCTATTAACACAGTAAAAGTGTAGTAAAAGCTTATTATAAGTAGTAAGCAATCATCTGAAATCACTTTTAACTAGCCTAAGGCACCTTAGTTTCAAAATGCCTTTGAAAAGGCCCTGATGACCTTCTGAAAACTATACTGCATCTTGAGACATGAAAGAAAGCTTCCTATTTGTTACATTCTTTTACAGGTATTCCATCAACAGATCTGCAGAGAAAGTTAAAAGCCATTGACGTAGCCCTTTCTAATCATCTTGTAGCATTAGATTAATAGAAGCTACACACAATACCTTCAAGTCAGTGTTGGACAGAATTCTGCATAGTAAGAATCTTCTGGCTTCAAATTAATCTCACAGTATCTTAATTACAAAGGTCAAAGGGTGACATTTTTAATTACTGTCAAAATCGAACTGAGAAAATGAGAGAGGAACATTTTTTTTTTTTTCATATTGTTTATTAAAACAAAGGAAAATGCAGAATTTCACAATCCATCTTAGAGGTGGAAAATTTTAAGTCAAATATCACTTTCAGAACGTTTTCTTCTACATACTGAATTCATATCCACTCATCAGGGCATTCTGTGCACTATTTGAAACCGAATCTGAACATCCTTCTGGAGAATTTTTGCACAGTGAAGTTATATTTGTGATGATTCTCATTAAACCAAGCACTGCTCTGCCCACTGTTTTACTTCCTGTAAACTCAGTAAGAAACGCAAAATGCAACAGGGTAAGACTTGGCCAAACAGATTGAATCACAAAGTAGTACAACCAGTTCAAGAAAAGCAGCAATTACTCTAAATAAAATGCATGATTGATAATTTACCTCAGGCAACTGATAAAGAAAAAGCATATTACCTGAACACAAACATTTTGATGAACTATGATTCTCTTGTAATATGCAGAAACAAAACTTTTACAAAGAACCACTATTTATAGAAAAAGGAATGACATATTTGACCAGTACTTATACATTCCCAAATTTTGCCAGGCCTTCCATGGCATTTTGAGATTATGTCTCACAAATTCTCTGAAATTGCATTTGGTTTGAAACTTCATTTGATGTTTTGTGAAGTTAACATATAGGTACCTCTGCATTCTCTGCTATCTAAAATGTTTTCAACAATTAATTATTACAATTACTTTGGAACATTTGGCATTTACTTACTTATTTCAATTATAAATCACTTAACTTTTCAATTCTATTTGGGCTAAATACTCGAATTGTGGTAAAACTTCTTTCAACATGGAATTTTATCAAAAGAAAAAAGAAAGAATGAATAAAGCTAAACCTTCCAACACTCAGTAGAACAGTTTCTCTGGAACAAGATCATAAAGTTCCCCCTTCCACAAACTCAGTTTGACAATATGTAATATTTTAAATAATTACTTATTGTGGTTGAGTTTACTCTTGCATTTTCAGTAATAAACATCTTTAGAGACATCCATCTTTTTTTCAATAGGATCACCCCATTGAAAAATATCAGTAAAGAAATAACCAGTGCATTATTTATTATGCTTTAACAAGAAAATGAGACTTTATCTGTGTGACAAAAAAAGATTGGATCTCGGCAAGTCATATAGGGTAGCTTTGAAAAGGCCAATTCTTTAGTCACAATGCAGAGTCCCAAAATAAATAGACCTTAGCTACATGCCAATGTCACTTATTCCAGAAGATTTCAGTAGACATTAAGAGCTTCCAACTCGATCTCTGGGAATAATCCGTAGATCTGAACCGTGCTTTAGAAATACATTTCCTAAACAAACAAACAAGAGAACATTACCAAACAAAATAAGTTTCCTAAGCAAGCATACACATTTAAAGAACAATAATGCCCTTAGATCAGTGTTCAACATCTTTGTAACAATTTCTCTATACGCTACAAAACCATTTTTTGTATTTCCACAGAATTTAATCTTATCCTTCCTACAGTGCCTCTCTAAAGTGCTCTTGCTTTTAAGTAATAATACCAGACTCAAAGTCATATAAGACTTGCAAGTTACAGCCTTTCAACTGTGCAGTTCTATGCTGGAATGCCTAATTTCACTTATATGTCATGATAATTTCAAGACTGAGAAATCAAGTTTTAATTCACTAAAATTATTTTGAGGTAATTAATGCATATACTGATTCTTAATTCTCTCCCTAGTTCAGTATTTATCTGCTTTTAACTTCAGAATCTCAGCTGTTCTACTCTTACTTAGATATGTAGAAAACCTTCCTGTAAGTTTCAATTTAGCATCAAAAAATTCTTCAACTTCTCATTTAACACTGTGTAGTCCCAATCACGACAGTCTTTCCAGGAGTGTGCAATACAAACATTTTTAATACTTCTATGTCTAGAATTATTTCTGCATGCATTTAGGATCGTCTCTACTGTTTTCTTCTATTAACTAAACATGATGCATTGTTTAATTACCATTTGGAGTTGCTTTTTTATGTTTTAAATTTCATACTGGTCCTTTGTGAAGCAGACTGTATGCAGTTCTACAATATCGAGTTTGAATCACATCTACGTGTTCCTATTCATCTCTGTGTTGACTTGTAAAAAGAGTGTAATTCCCTTTCCTTGTAAAGCACTCCATTTCATGGATGTAGAATGAGTGCACTACCAACAAAGATTAAGATACTTAACATTTGTTCATTAACAACAAACTGGAAAACTTTCCTTTTTTTAAACTTAATGAATCTACCACATAGATCAGGATTTAAACTGTTCTACCTGTTCAATATAATAACAGAAGCTCCATTCTAAAGAATGGATTATCAAATGTTAAAAAATACTGAAGAAATACATTACAATCACAAAATCATAGGATATCCTCAGTTGGAAGGGAAAGACAAGGATCGAATACAACTCCTGACTCCACAAAGGACCATCTAAATTTCAAACTCTCTTTCTGAGAGTGCCATTCAAATGCTCCTTGAAATCCAGCAGCTTGGGGCTGTGACTTCTCTCAGGAAGTGATTTTTATGTTGCAATCGTAGTCATAAAACTAAAATTTCACAGCTCATGCAGGCAGTAATTCAACCCATTTCTTAATCTGCTTCTATCATTAGTATCATAGTGGGTTTTATTAAAGTTACAGCATACCATTACCTCAACTACTGAGGATTTCAAACTGAAATCAGTACAGAAATTAAATGTTAAGCCCAGCTTCTTCAGCTTTCATTTCCCTTGCCATGTGAAATCATGTAGGAAGAATTAAAGCCATACTTGAGGAGTGCTTTTGTCAGGAAGTCAAATTAAAAATAGAACAGGACAAAACCTCTAAAATCCCAAGGAACGCTAAGATTTTATTCCCAGATCATCTTAACTGGAGAAGTTTTTAAACACTACTGGTTCAACCCACCAGAACTTAATAATATGTAAAAAGGAAAAAAATGTAAGGTTTGACATATCAAGTTGCTTCTAAAGCACCAATAAGGCTGAATTAAGGCTATAACTGAGTTACTTAGGTTTACTTGTAAACTCAGAAGAGATGTTGTTTTGAATTCTTGATTTGGTGGCTCTTTTCCCAGTCCTTCTTTCAGTTGAAAGCAATGCCACACAACACTGTCATGGCAAATGGCATTTATCTTCTTTGTTAAAGAAATATATAAACCCCTGTGCCTAATCTTACATTTGTAGACAAGATCAAGATCATGAAATATTCTCAATCTAGATGTCTTTAATTTACCTGAACCTTGACTATGAAATGCTGTTATATTACTGCTGACTAATTGCTCAACATTTATCAAAATTTAGTAGAGTTAATGCAAAGCAACTGGAGATCTGAAATTGATGCGAATAGCTGCAGGCTTGATGAACTGTCATGTGAACATTTTCATTTTCAGGAATAAAGTAGCCCTTAATCCATTTACTTTGCAGGATTAAGCTACATAATACAAAATGCAAGTATACCTCTGAGGAAGAAGAACAGTGTAAATATATCTTATCTTAAACAATTGACTTTACTGTTTCACCTAAATGTTCTTAAGTGGCTGTATGAAAAACTGTCCTCACAGGCTGATGATGATCTAGTAGCTAAACTATATTGTTAGCTGTATCATCTATCTTCATTGTACTTGGTCATATGATGTGTTGGGACTGGTGCTATCTAACATCTTTGTAGGCAATGTGAACAGTGCAATCGAGTGCACTCTCAGCAAGTTTGCAGATGATGCCAAGCTGAGTGGTGGCAGCTGACATGCTAGAAAGAAGGGATGCCATATAGAAGGACCTGGACAGGCTTGAAAGGTGGGCCCCATGCCAACCTCATGAAGTTCCACAAGGCCAAGTGCAAGGTGCTGCACTCGTGTCGGGGCAATCCCAAGTGCAGATACAGGTTGGCTAGAGAATGGCTTGAGAGCAGCCATGAGGAGAAGGATTTGGGGACGTTGACTGATGAAAGACTCAACATAAGCCAGCAACGTGTGCTTGCAGCCCAGAAGGCCAACTGTGTTCTAGGTTGCATCAAGAGAAATGTGATCAGCAGGTCGAGGGAGGTGATTCTGCTCCTCTACTCTGCTTTCATGAGACCCCACCTGGAGTTTTACGTATGGTTCTGGAGCCTCCAACACAAGAAGGACATGGAGCTGTTGGATTAGGTTCAGACAGGGGCCACAAAGATGATCAGAGTGCTGAAGTACTTTCCCCATGAGGACAAGATGAGAGTGCTGAGGCCCTTCAGCCTGAAGAAGAGAAGGCACCAGGGAGACTTATAACAGCCTTCCAGTACCTGAAGGGGACCTACAGGAAAGCTGGGAAGGGACTTTTTATAAGGGCAGGTAGCAAGAGGATAAGGGAACATGGTGTTAAACTGGAATGAGACAGATTTGGACTAGATATTAGGAGAAAATTCTTTACTGTGAGGGTAGTGAGATGCTGGAACAGATTGCCCAATGAGGCTGTGAATGCCTCCTCCCTGGAAACATTCAAGGTCAGGCTCAATGGGGCTTTAACTGACCTGGTCTAGAGAGAGATGCCCCTGCCTGTAGCAGGGGGGTTGGAACTAAATGATCTTAGCAGTCCCTTCCAGCCCAAACCATTCCGTAATTCTATGGTTCTATGCCTCTATGTTCATGATGAGGACAGCAACAGCTGAAGAGTCTGCCAGAGGCAGCACACTGGCCAAAAAACAAGGGTATCCTAAGGCAAGCCCAAGGTTGACAGAAACCTCATGTGGTGCAGAAAACCAAGTGCTCTCTTGATCTTCACTTACAAATGCTGTTGACAGAACTGCAGATATCAAAAGTGGATTGCTGTACTTCTGTGATTCCTTCTACAATTCCAAAAAAATAACATCAAGCAATTGAGCTTCTAACTGTTGCTTACTGTGAGATGCTCTGCAAGATTTTACTTTATACTATTTATCTTAAGAGGGCTAGGTATGCTAATTATATGAATGAGAAAGCGGTATCTAGAAAGCCAAAAAAACAAAACACCCAAAAACCTAGAAGCAAACTGTGCTACTTTTGGCAACACGCAGCAGACAGAAGACATAAATGAATAAGATCTGGCAAAAAGATCTGGCAAAAACCAGAGAAGCAGCAAGGAACTCTTCACTAACTGTTCATCATGTTTGCAAGCAGGAATAAAATTAGATTCACAGTTTGCACCAGGTGGAATCACCTGGAATCCCTTGAGGGGAACAAGAGGACTATCTGCAAGACCACCCTTTTTGAGAATGTACTTTACAAAGCACCTACAGTTCCTGCTCTAAAACAGAGTGTTACTCTTCTAAACAGATCTTATCAGAATGGCTTCTGAAATACCAAATACTACTGGAGTAGGCACAGTGGTGAAAAAAAATACAGCTATCATCTGGTATTTTAGAAATTAGTAATTGCTCTTTTAGACTGCACTAAATAGCTAAGTCCTAAAGATCATCAGTACCTCACGCTTCCACAGTCCTACTGAACAACAGTTCTGTGGATTTAAGCTTTCACTCAGAACACTGACTGTAGTTTCAACGACTGGACAACTGTTCTCCCATTTAAGAAATCAAAACTTGAGATATAACAACCAACCTGGAGTGCTATGTGTTAACTTAAAATAACTGAGTTGTTTTTTTTAGAACTACTGGGCTCCATAAATAATAACTTACCTGCTGTCTGTGCAGGGTTTATTCCTATTCCATCTAGGAAGAAATTAAAGCAGAAAAAGAGACAGACAGGACAGTGAAATGGACTTCACAGTTTATTACATTGATCTTACTGCCCAAAAATATAAAACATCAAACAATACATACTTATCACACCAGCCCTTCAAATAGCTATTTCCAATAATCAACATCAGTCACATCAAAGAAACTAACAAGAAATCTACAGCATAGGAAATCCAAACTATGTGTTAGGAGAAAACCACTCCAGTGAATAATAATGGCTTCATACCTTCATCCCATTCGTAAATAATCAGAAAAATGCTACTGTATTATTAAATATTACTAAGTTCAGTTTGCACACTGTAGAGTCTGTGATAGAAAAGACGTTTCTGTGTCTATCAATATCCCTCAACTGAAACTACAGTATAAAAACTACATACTTACCGTTTGTGATAATGGCACTTGTTGCTGCAGGAACTTTGAACTACAGGAAATGAGTACAACAAAACAATGCAAAAGACATAGTTAAAGTAGAAAACATGGATAATACTCAAAGCAATGATTATTTTAGCTTACTCAAGTAGAAAGAATCAAGAGAAAATATTCCCCTGAGATTTAGAGATACAGCAAAACTAAAATTTACACTTAAAGTTGATTAGACATCTCAATACAGAGTAAGAAATTTGCAGTACTAAAATAACTACATCCATTATTCACTGGATAAAATATAGAAGAAATATTAGTTCTAATTATACTAAACTTAAAACAAACAAACAAACAAACAAAAAAAAAACACCTTAAAAAAGGGGTGGCCAGAAGGAAGAGGGAGCTGATTGACTCCCTCTACTCAGCTCTTGTGAGGCCCCATCTGGAGTACTGCATCCAGGCCTAGGGCCCCCAGTACAGGAAGGATGTGGAAGTTTTGGAGTGGATCCAGAGGAGGGCCACTAAGATGATCAGAGGGCTGGAGCACCTCTCCTATGAGGAAAGGTTGAGGGACCTGGGATTGTTTAGCTTGGAGAAGAGAAGGCTCCAGGGAGACCTCACTGCAGCCTTCCAATGTTTACAAGGCTGGATAGTGATAGGACAAGGGGGAATGGTCTTAAATTAAGACAGGGGAGGTTAGGTTAGATATTAGGAGGAAGTTTTTCACACAGAGGGTGGTGACGCACTGGAACAGGTTGCCCAAGGAGGCTGTGGATGCCCCATCCCTGCAGGCATTCAAGGCCAGGCTGGATGTGGCTCTGGGCAGCCTGGTCTGGTGGTTGGTGACCCTGCACATAGCAGGGGGTTGAAACTCGATGATCATTGTGGTCCTTTTCAACCCAGGCCATTCTATGATTCTGTGATTCTATGAAACACATGGAAATGAACTTCGAAGAAGAACACGTTACGTCATGCCAAATACTGTGAACAAACAATACTTTTCTAAATAAAAAACAATTGACCAAGAATACATATGCTCAAATTTTCCAGAATAAAAATGGTCAACAATCTTAAACATAAAACACACGCACGTATTTGTGGGCATACTAACTTCATACTGGTGTGCTCAACAGAAAGAAACACTTACAGGACCAGAACAAGAGCCAATATGAAAACATTATACAGTAGGAAAAAATAGAAGGTTGCATCTGAAATGCATGGAATTTGCACTGAGAGAATATTTTTACCATACAAGTCAACTCTGTGAGTAATTAGTATTACCATCAGGTACATTATCACTATTTGAACTTCCCACTGTTGTGACTGAAGATGGTATTTGAACCCCAAATAAACTTTAGTAAATCTTGGTTAATTTTGACCTATTTCCTAGCTTTCTTCTTGGCTCCATTTTGATCTCCAACTGCACTGCTGCAAGAAGAGTTCACTCGAGGATTTGCTTATAAAAGGAGGCACTAAGAGCACTGCATCTGATCCAGCTCTGTCAGAATTCTGACACCAGCCTAAGCAGGCTTTGTACCCTCAGTCAGCACCATATGCCCCCATGATACCCATCCCCACATCCACCCATCATATGTGGTCAATTCCACTATACAAAAAACAGCGCACAGATGGGGCTGCATCAGACATAGGCTGCATATTATTTCAGAATAACTGAACTTCCGGAGAACACAAAAAATAATTATTTCTTAGGACTTATTTTCATGACTATAGGAAGTCACAAAGGACCCAAAGAAATATCCTGTACTGCATAATGTGGTTGGATCACACAGGACGGAAGGGGTAGGCAGTGTGGGTGCACATCAATCAGTGCCACTTGGATGGCTTGAGGACCACAGGTTGCTCCTTTGCCACATTTTACTTAGCTCTATGATCAATCCCTAAGAGTGGTGTCCAGGTAATCAGCAACTATCATTTGCTCCTCAGAAAGCACTTCTCTTATGCAAGAAAAAGCACAACTATGAATGCTAATACTACATGCTTTTCTGGCAGAATTAGAGAGCTCTCATTTGCTGAGCAAGTCACTTCAGCTGAACCTTTCAGTGGCATTCATTAATTGTACTTTCCTCATTTTCTAATTGCTCAAATCAAAATTCTGAGGTTCAACTTGCAAGAACTCCACACATTAACAGCAACAGCTAGAATTCATGGATACCATGCTTAAATACAGCACTTAATTATTGGTATACTGAAAAATTGCCTTTCATCTCCAGACACACAATAGTAGCATTTTTTTATTATTATTAATTTTAAACTTACAATCTCTTAGCTTTGTACCTATTGCAGGTCATTACTTACTCACCTTGCAATGTAACATTAAAAAAGTAACTTTTGCAAAAGACAAATCATATACCAGAGTCACTACAGAAAGGCCATGAGGAAAGTAATAATTTGTCTTCAAAGCCAGGTTTGAGTAATGAGTTCAAAAATTGGGAGCTACATATTTAACACTAACAATGTAAAAGTAATATGTCATCTCATAATAGCTAAGTACTACACATAGTTGCTCTCTCCCTCCTCCTCCTCAGCAGGAAAAAGGGGAGAAAATGAGATGGCAGAAAAAAAAAAAAAACAAACACTTGCAGGTTTGAGACAGAAGCAGCTTAATGAAAAGACTTCTGAGAAACAGAAGGAGAAAAAAAACTACTCTCCAATTCCCAACAGCAAGTAATGCTCAGTCACTTCTCAGGAAGCAGGGCCTTAGTACGTGTATGTACATGTGCAGTGGTTGCTTGCTTTCTTTATTAATTTTTTCCTTGTCTTTCTTCCTTCAAGTTTCATTGCTAAATGTGACATCATACAGTACAAAATACTGGGCCATACTCAGCACGTTAAAATCATCACAATATAGAAAAGGAAACTTGTACAGGAAGTTGGTACACTATAATTCAGTATTGAATTTTAATATTTTGTTTGACTTAAAAACAAAAATCCTTCCTTTGTTTGATAAGCTTGTGGTCCCATGTTGAAAATATACAAGCTTTCCTTAATACAAAGGCAAATTAATGCTCAAGTAGCAAAGAAATTCTCTGTTCATCAAATAAATCCCAGCTTTCCTTGAAACCCAAGTAGGATATCCTGCATCAAATACACTTAACAAATCAACTTGTTTGCTTTAAAAACCTTACAAACTGATAACTTGCTGTGAAACAACTACTCAGTTCCCTCCCGTCTTTCTTGTTCCCTCATACCAACATTAATATCAGGCATTTGTGTCAGGAATCCAGATTATGATTGAAAAGATTGGGCTGCCAATGAAAATATGGCTTAGCCTGAACCCACACTATGCCTCTAAAGTGACTCTTAGCCTTAACCCCCAGTATGCCTCTAAAGTGACTCTGCCAGTCAGAGACAGAGGAGGGCAAGAGAAGGAAGCAACACCCATGGTCAGTTTTGGAAGATACATCATCTTACGCCAACTTAAACTTCTTGCAGGTATTAGTGGTAAAGATGAAGCCAACACAGCCAACAAACTAAACTCACTAACTGATAAAGCAAAGAAACTTCAAAAGACACAAGTTAATTATCCAGTCTGAACAATTCAGCATGCAGCTCCATTACACCCTTAACCCTGCATGTATGAGCTGCAATGAATCTATGATAAAGAACAGAGAGTGAACAGGACAATTCCTTCTGGAAATGAACAGTGGAAACAACACATCAGACTTTGCTGGACTTATCAGTCTAGGCCTCTGTGTGTGGGTTTTGTAGGCACAGCTGCATTCATTCAGATTTTTAAAAAAGGAAGAAAAACAGTTTAAAAAAAAAAAAGTCATTACATCAGTAAGCACATTTTCAAGTATTTATTATTATGTCTATTATTGTGTTCAAGTAATGTCACACTAAATAATCAACCCCTTTTACTCCCACATCAGCTGTGTCTCTGATATGAACTTCTGTCACACTGTGGTATAAATATAATATTAAAAAAGTTAAAGACACGCTTTCAATTATCATTCCTAATTATTTATTAGAATACCAATGCTTTAACAAATAGATCTTAAAGTAGTCTAAGCCTCCCCCAGATTTTAGAAAAAATCAGAAGGGGGACTGCAGGAACAGAGACAGTGTCAGCTAAATATGCTGACTAGACCAAAAAAAGCCATCTGGCTTTGGAACGCTGTTTCAAATGAATGTATCTTAACCTTTTGTAGACCCAATCTGAAACAAATAGCACGCACCTCCTCTAATAACTCACACAGGTAATTTAGGCACCTATTTCTGGATTTTGGATTCCATGTGAAAGACCAAACACACAAAAGCTAAGAACACAAGTGTCACTTGTGTCTGGTTTTGAATCTAGCCCATATGTGTACCATCAGTACCATCTACAATCAGAAATGAGATGTATTCCAAAATCAAAGACTGCTGGAAACAAGCATGAGAAGTGTTACTAATTTCTTCAAAAAAGCTAAAGAGTATCCTGAATATTCTACATCAGTAATTGAAAATATTAAATAGGCAACAGAAGTAATTTGTAATCATGTTTACTACCATTTATTTTTATATTATTGGCATAAAAGTGCAATAGCGAAGAAAACGAGTAGGTCTTACACTTGCTACTGATGTGCAAATTAGAATCCTAGAATCATAGAACCACTGAGTTAGAATCATAGAACCTTAGAGTTAGAAGGGACCCCTGAAGGCCACCTAGTCCAACTCCCTTGCAGTGAACAGGGACACCACAGCTAGATCAGGTTGCCCAAGGCCTGATCCAGCCTCACCTTGAAAGTTTCCAGGGACAGGGCATCCACCACATCTCTGGGCAAACTGTTCCACTGCCTCACCACCCTCACTGTAGAATTTTTTTTTTCCTTCAATCTAACGTACATCTACCCTCTTTGAGCTTGAAGCCATTTGCCCTTGTTCTGTCACCACAGACCCTGATAAAGAATCTGTCTTCTTTCCTGTAGCTCTAGATACTGGAAGGCTGCTCTCAGGTCACGTTGGAACCTTCTCTTCTCCATGCTGAACATTCCCAGTTCTCTCAGCCTGTTCCCATACAAATCCTGTAAGAACTGCTGAATTACAGAATCCGGAAGTTTTGACAGATCCACTGACATCAGTGAAGCCAGGGCTCATGAGTATCTAGCAATAGGATTTTTTTTTTTTTTGGCATGTTGGATTCAGTGTTGTATTTTACAACCAACAACCTTTTGTTTTCAGGCACAGTCACAAAATTAAGAGCAGTCACATCTTTCTACTTACTTCCTCAGCAGCAAACTTCAAGACAGCTGTGAAAGGTGTACTTTCGGGCACGCTTAGCCTGAAACGAGAGTTTAAACGTTGGGTGCGTGACTGCTAACATAAACCAATACCAAGCGACTTTACGAGCAGCAACCCTCCTGCCAAAGATGTGTACGTACAGGATGAGGCAGAACTGAGACACACATGCCATTCATCTTCCACGATAAAATAAAAGCAAAAGAATGCCAAGGGAACCCCGCAGGGCTCAGGGCCCCACTTCACGCAGTACAACCCCGCACTCACACTTTGTAGGGCAGCCGCGGGTCGGAGGTGAGCGTGACTTTAAAGGTGACCTTCGACCTGGGAAGAGCGAGAAGAAAGCGGGGGGTTAGAGGCGGTGTGAGGACCAGATGTGGAGCAGCAGGGCCAGGATCGCACCCGCTCACTCACATACTGCAGCCGCCACCGCCACCGCCGCCCGCCGACACGTCAGCCTCCCGGCGGCCCTCGCCGCTTCTCCCGCTCGCAGGGCTGCCCGCGGCGCGCCTGATGGAAAGGTACAAGTACAAAAACGCCCTGCGGGCCGCTGAGGGGCAGTGAGTGGTGCGCTCGGTCTCTGTGCTTCGCCGACCCCGGAAGGGGAGGAGCTGAGGGTGGGTGAGGGGAATTGCGGAGGGGTGCGGGGGCTTCTAGCGAGGCGGCAGCGGCGGCCGTTCTGTAGCGTGGGTTGGGCTCTGACGCTGGCAGCGCGGCGTTGCACCGGGCGGGACGTGAGGGGAAGGCGGGCGGGGTTGGAGGTAGGTGCCACGCCGTTTGTATAAATGCGGGTGTGTGGGCGCGTACTCAGAATCCTTCACGTTTTCCTGAGAGTCGTAGAATCGTAAAGGTTAGAAAAGACCTCTGAGATCACCTGGTCCAAGTGTAAGCACGTCACCGCCGTGCCCACTAACCCGGCTGTCGCTGCCACGTCTGTGCAGTTCCTGAACGCCTCCACGGACTGCGGCCCCTCCATAGCAGCCTGTGCCATGCCTCACCAGCCTTACTGTAAAAAGTTTTTTTCTTATGCCCAATCTAAATCTCTAATTTGAAGCCATATCCCTTTGACTTAGCAGACCCTGCTAAAAAGTTTGCTCCCTTTCTTCTTACAGCCCCTTTTTAGATACTGAAATGCTATTCTGTGGTCTCCACGGAGCCCTCTCCAGGCTGAACAGCCCCGGCTCACTCAGCCTGTCCTCGTAGGAGAGGTGTTCCATCCCTTGCATCATTTCTGTGACCCTTCTCTGGACACATTCCAACTGGTCCACATCTCTGCTGTCCAGAGGACTCATATCTGGATGCAGTACTCCAGGAGAGGTCTCACCAGTGCAGAGCAGAGGGGCAGGATCACCTCCCTCACTGCTGACTGCACTTCTTTTGATGCAGCCCAGGATACGGTTGGCTTTCTGGGCTATGAGGGTATATTGCTGGCTCACGTCCAGCTTTCCATCCACCAGTAGCCCAGGTCCTTTTAGGCAGGGTTATGTCCTGTGTTCAGGATTTTGTTAAAGCTTGTACAGCTGGCCTCAGCCCCATTGATTGAGCCTGTCAAGATCCCTCTGCAGGGTTTTCCTACCCCGAGGTAGTTCAACACTTCCTCCAAGCTTGGTGTCATCTGCAAACTTACTTAGAGTGCACTAAATTTTCTCACCCAGATCATCAATAAAGCACAGTCCGAGGTCATCATTACCACATATTTGTATGCCAGACTTGTCAAGGCAAAACACTTTGTAGTGTTCAGACTGGGGTCTCATTAGGATCAAGGTAAGAGAAAAGCTGTGCAAAGAAGGAGTCAGTGTGTTGGCATCACTAATCTCTTACCTGTGGACTGGCTCAGTCCTCAGCTAAGAAAATTCATCTTTTCACAGTTGCACTGCTTCTGAAAACAAGCAAGCAAATAAATAAAAGCTTATGCAATGACATTAATATTTCTCTGTGTTTCATGCATTTAACTTTATGTTACTGTATCTGTCTTCCACAACAATGTCACATTTGTGGCTTTTGCTTATTTTCTCATCTGTTAATGATCATTTTGCTTTTCATTGCCCTGTTTCTAAGAAATCACACCATAAGTTGGAGATAATCAAGTCTTCTTTGAGCACGTAACCTTTTGTGTAGGAAAGTGTCATCCTGTATTTTTTCCAGCCCTCTTCAGATTCAGTTCATAATTATCTTATGATGTTGTGGTTTCAATTTATACAACTGTGCCATCTGCCGCTTTCATTTGTACTCCAATTTCCACCATACAATTACAAATGCATCACTGTTTCCCATACCAAGGTCATTAATACAGATGTGAAATGAGAGAACCATTCATCTAGAATTTCATTTCTTGCCTTTCAACTGTAAGGACTTTCCTTCTGGGGAAAGAAATACACCCAAATCTTCATGCTGTTGACTGCTTTTAGTGCCCACATTTATTTGGTTGATTTGAGTACACATGTACCATATGTCAATACTTATGACCCGATAAAGAGTCAGTTCAGGAAAGTGATTAGGAAAATGAGTGAATGAATGAATGAATAAATAAATAAAATTTAGGCAAATTTCATCTGGTTTTCTTTCTGAATCAGCACAAAGAAGGATGTGAGGAAGCACACCTGGTTTGTAGTGTTATTGTGTTCCACCTTAAGCCAGGTTTAGATGCTATGGAGGTGTATCCTGTGCAGGAGTGCTTGTAGGTAATTTCAGAGTCAGTGTCTTTAAAAGTAGTATCAGAAATCCAAATGCTTTTATAAAAACAAGACCTCTTTGGTGCTGGAAATTTGTAATTGTATGGTGGAAATTTGTACTCTGCTACCTAAACCTTATTAGAAAGATATCAGGGTTTTGTTTTTTTTTTTTTTTTTTTTTTTTTCTGAGAATTTACAATGAATAAAGAAAGAACTATGTATATGACTTTTTCAGCTAGGAGAATTAATGAACCTTGATGTCCTTACCTGCAAACTAGCCAAGGATGGGTTGCAGGTGACCATTTCAGTAATGGGCTTATATACACAAGAACATTCTCCTCAACTCAAGAAAAAGAAATCCATTCCCAATGAAGTCCTCCGTCCTTTACTACGTGACTGAAACAAGAAAAGAAGCTGGAATTTTTTGTTCAATTTATTTTCCCTACAGCACTGATTTAGTGTGTGCCTATAGCCGTGTATTGCAATGAGGTATAGCTTTTGTTTTAGCAGCTGTGTAGACTGCAACAATTTGAATAATTAAAACCATTGGGGTTTTGACGATTTGCGATCACATTACTGTGATAGAATGCATTTAAGACAGGAAAATGTGAAAAAAGCCCCCCAAAATGACAAAATATATGTCCCTCTGAATACTGAGATGAGGCTGAGGTGAATTAAAATGTCTTTATATGGCACTTTAGATAAATCCTTCTAGTTGATAACAGCGTTGCAAGAGAGATAAGTAGTGCAGTGCAGAGAACTGTTCATCTCACATGCCTGCAAGGGGCAGATAGACACCTGGCTGGGCCTCCGTTAGTGGTGTGAAAGTGGCACTGAAGAGAACAATAAAAAGGAATTGGAATTTAAATGAACAGAAATTTACCTTACCAGGATCTGTTGACCAATATTTAACTGCCGGAGCAAGATAGTGTTTCTTGTCCTGTCAGAGGGTAAAATTATTACAGAAGGGGCAACTACTGAAATGTAACAGAGCTTGTAAAATTATAAGGAGGTGGAGAGAGTTGTCAATTTCTCAAGAAGTTACATCCTATACCAGGATTGTTTACTATATACTTGTAGTCTGAATCCAACTTCCTTATGAACATTTTTTGAGTTGCCATAATTAATTACCATGATTATTTCACTAATTATTTTACTTATTTATATATTTCTGAAAAAAAAAAAAATACTCTTTGATAGTATTTGCTACTTACTTTCAGTAGAGTTGAGGACACTGTAGAGTAAATATGCCAGAAAGCCTTTTTTTGAAGAAATGGTATTTAGCTTCCTTTTTCCTTCTGCTTCCCATTTTGTCTTATTACAGTCCCTGTTGGCTACAATATATTGGTAGGTATTCATTTAGAGCAGCCTTGAGGCACAGAACTTGGGTTCATAATTTCCTGCTCATCTTGCAAACAAATAAATGTGGCCACAGCTCAGAGTTTGACCATAAAAATTAAGCTGCCTTGTTTGTGTTTTTGGAAAGACATCTCCCTTTTTTCTGCTGTGTCTTAAAATCTTTTATCTTTCATGTGTATTTGTAAGATTTATGAGGTGCACCTGCCATGTGAAGAACATCAGTTTCTGTGCTACAAAACAAGTGTCTGTGAATAGGAAGATTACCACAAAAACTACTATTGTAAGGACTCTATGGAAGTATCAAATCTGAAGTTTTAAAAAGTGTAATAAAACCTCTCACATGCAAAATATGCTTTTCGCTTTGTCAGTCCCTGACTGGGTAAGGCACTTAGTGTTTCAAAGAATCTTTGCTTAAAAAGCAGCGGATTAAGCCTTTAAGTAGGTACACAGACAATTAAATCTTGGCACTCAGAAAAATTTCCTTCCATGCCCCAATCTTTTTCTCCCCACTTCTACCTCAGTCTTTGTTCTTGGCCTCCTGCCTGCCTGGTGCTCTTTGCTCATGCTTTGTTGCTTGCTGGAGCCTCCTGTGAAGCAATGCGAAACAGCAGAAGTCATAGATGTGTCCCTGTGGGCTCAGAACATTGAATCATCTCAGACAGAGATCTGAGCTGACACAGCAGAGGAGGAAGAGAGATCTATCTTTGTCTTTTGTCACAGGGAAGCTTGGGATAACAATTCCCCTTGATAACTGTTTCCTATAACCAGAGCTCTGGGCTGGGAACCCGCCTTGCTTCCCTTTGTTCTGCCCTTCCCAGTACGTTGATACACATCCTCAGCTGTGTGTTCCTATACTGGCAGGGAAACCAGCTTTCTTTCTCAGGTAGATTCTGGTTACAATATGAGTTAGCATGCTTACAAAAATCTGAACCAACAGAGGTAACTCTCTGACATTGCTGCCACTTCTGAAATGCACCACCTGCTGCCAACTGTGCTTACATCCCCTCTTTGGTCTCCATGAAATTCGGCAAGATTCAGTTAGTATCAGTGGGTGCAATTTTTTATTTTATTTATTTATTTCTTTTTGCATGGAGGAATTCAGTTCCACACCTTTCTTCATGCGCACTTCCATGTCAAATGCCATTTTGTCAGATCACCCCTCTGCTGCCATCTGTCAGACAACAACAAAATGTGATGTAGTATTGCTGGAAAGGCTGAACCTCTACTGCCATACCACCAACATTAATCTCTGATGGCCTTGGCCAACATAATGAAATAGAGGCATCATTTCTGGAGAAGCCTTCATGTAAATGTACTATGTCTTATTTTCCAGAATTCATTTGAAATCGTTTCGACTTCGAAAAATTTCTCAACCAAGTAATTTTTTAGGCTTCTTGTCTTAAAAACAATTTAATTGTTGCATCTTTTGTTATGATGAGAATAG